GAAGCAGGCTCCCCACTGAGCAAGGAGTGAAGGGCTCGATAGCACCCCAGGATCATGACATGAGCTAAAAGCAGATATTAACTGATTAACCTACTGAGTCACCCTAGGACCTCCTAGAAACTGATTTTTAATTCAAACAGTATAAACACTTTACACTCTCCTTCTTAGGAAATTTCAGTAATCTACACTGTGGGTTGGACCATGAAATGTAGAATTTTAGAGGTAGCAGGAACCTTAAAAACCATCAAGTATAATAGTGCTTTTTATGGTATCTCTGTAAGGTATGTGTCTAGCTCAGGCTTCCAAACTCCTCTACCCCAGGGTCCAGAGCTCTACATAGAGGTAGTAATAGTAGTAGTAGTAAGACTGTGTTGTCTAATAGCAGCTAACTAACACTCACTGAATACCTCCTAAGCAGTTTACAGTATTTATCCACAAGACAGGCCTATGAAACAGGTACTACTGTTATTTCTTCAGACAGGGAAATGGAGATATGATAAAATGAAGGAAGCTGCTCAATGTCATCTACTGGCTAGTAAGCAGAGGAACCAGTTATTTGGACCCAAGTGGCCAGGTCCACACATTAAGCCATTTCACTGTTCTCAAGGTCTCCCAACTATCTTCTCTCCCTGTGATTTCTGTAAAGTTATATTCTGTACATGCAAACCATATAGAAATAATTTTAAGATCATGCACTGGGGTGCCTAGGTGGCACCATTGGTTAAGTGGCTTCCTTTGGCTCAAGTCCCGATCTAAAGGTTCTGGGATTAAGCCCTGTGTCAAGCTCTCTGCTCAGTAGGAAATCTGCTTCTCCCTCTCCCTCTGCTCACACTCTCTTGTGTGTATGCAAATAAGATATTTTAAAAAATAATAATTAAAAATAAATAAAAATCATGCACTGCTGGGGGCACTCAGATGGCTCAGTCAGTTAGGTGTCCAACTCTTGATCTCAGCTCAGGTCTAGATCTCAAGGTTCTGAGTTCAAGCCTGTCATTAGGCTCTACCTACTTAAAATCATATACTGCTTAAAGCTTCTGTCTGAAAATTTAAGTGTATCTAAATGAAAAACTGATTATTGATAAGAATTAAAAAATCTTATTCTAAACATTTAATCTTGTCTGCCTTTGTGGAAGGCAGTTTTTCATTTTATAAAGATGTTTAGGTGGAGAGGCCTGTTTTGTTTCTTACTACTAATTCTCTCTTAACTGTCCTTTATTAAGAGAAACAAGATTTAAGTAGGTTAAAATTTGGCACACTAAGAGGTGCAGAGTTTAAATAACCAACCTATTAAGGTTTCAATAAAAAATTTATGTCCTTTACCGTACCCTGAAACAGCTAAAGAGGAAGGTACTGGCTCACTCAGCTGAAGTACTGATGTTTTGCTTGCTTTTTGACATACCCATGCTATGTCTGCTTGATAATTCCAGGTGGCCATATGCTACGTCAGCTCCAGACCCCACTCCAGCAATGTCAGCTGTGAAGGGGTGTTTTTCAGTGGACTTCTCTTGTACCTCTGTGACTCTTTTGTAGGTGCTGATCTTCTGAAGAAATTTAATTTTCTAAAAGGTAAATCAAACTTAGTGTCTTTTGCTTGTGAATGCCATTGTTTCCTGAGACAAAACAGGGAGGTCAAACATATAAAAAAGCACTTTAACAATGGTTTCTGCCAGTAAATTGAATACCTTGCTTTTAAACCAGGGCCAGGATTTCCTTAATTGGGGCAGGGGTAGAATCTAGTTGTTGTTTTACCAAGACAAAATGCAGATAAATAGTCAGAAATGTGACCACATTAAATTTGTTCTTCCCACTATTAATGTAAGAAAGGAATGATGCAATGTAAGGAGAAATAATTCTTCTCAAATAACCTAATTTCAATAAAAACAGGTTAATGAATTGTGATTCTGGTCTAGAAGGTAAGTAAAGTCGCTTCAGCAGGTATGCACTAAGAACAAACTGCAAATTAAGCATCACAGATAATCATGACAAGATGACCTCTGAGGCCAGTGAAGAAAGTAAGATTCAGAATATCATGGACAGACCACTGTGGAAAACAGTATAAAGTTTCCTCAAAAACTAAAGATAGGATTAATCATATGATCCAGTAATTCTAGTACTGGGATTTACCCAAAGAAAACAAAAACATTAATTCAAAAAGATATACGCACCGTAACGTTCACTGCAGCATTATTTTCGATAGCAACCAAAGTGTCCCTCCATACATGCATAAGGAAGATCTATCTATTATACAATGGACTAACTCAGCCATAAAAAAGAGATCTTGCCATTTGCAGTAGCATGAATGGGCTTAGAGGGCATATAATCCTAAGTAAAGTAAGTCAGAGAAAGACAAATACCATAGGATTTCTCTTATATGTCGAATTTAAGAATAGATGCTACTGTGTATTTATATGTGCATAAAATCCACCTGCAACAGTGTGTTGTGTGTGTGTGTTGGGGGGGGTGCCTCCCAGGAGACACTGGCAGTAGCAGGAGACATTTTAGGTTGCCACACTGGAGGGTGTTGCTGGCATATAGTGAGGAGAAGCCAGGGATGCTGCTAAATCATCTTACAAGAACAGAACAGCCCCCCAGAACAGAATTATCCAGTGTTGCTAAGGTGCAGAACCCCTTCACTGGAAACACAGAACATTGGTACCACAGGAGAAGGGGAGGTTTTTCACTTTACTCTCTTAAACTTTTGAATTTATAATACTACTTACTCAAGATAATAAAATTATAACGAATAATTGTGATAGGTTACTTTTACCTCTATGTTGGTTCTCAGATACGTTAAAGGACATGATCAGAAAAAGATGGTAGGATCCTTATTATAATTTCAGTTCCTGAGTTTAAGATGCATTTTTGCCTTTCTTCTGAAGGTGCTACCCTGTGTGTCATCTGCCAAGACAGAAGCTCCTTACGCCAAACAATTGTCCGCTTAGAGCTAGAGGATGAGTGGCAGTTCCGCCTCCGGGACGAGTTTCAAACCGCTAACAGCAGCGATGACAAGCCCCTCTACTTTCTTACTGGCCGCCATGTATGAGCTTTTGAAAAGACCAAAAATAGCAAAGGGATGCCTAGGTGGGGTGGGTCAGAAACATTTGGGATTTTTTTTTTCCTTTAAAGTACAATCACTGTGGAGCAAAGTGCAACATATTTGTTCTCCAAAGAAATCCGCCCCCTCCAACCCCAATCTGACCCAGGTCTTTCGGGGTATCACTCTCCTTTAGTTCCACTGTCAGGACCTTATATTCAGGTTAACTCCACCCTAGGCAGTTATGCAATTACTTAAGACATGGTCTGCCACAGGAGCCTGAGGAGGATACACTTTGGAGAACGAACATGGAGTTTGCATTGTTTTTTCTACTACACTATGTTAGGGGGAAAACGGACTCTTGGCATTAGCTAGCCTGAATGTGTTACATGAGACTCACACCGCTGGTGTGGAATTAATTGAAGATTAACGTTTGAGGCCTGAACCCTCAGTTTCTCTTCAGATCTGTACTTTGGTACAGTATTACTCAGGGGTCTGAAATGATAGAATGTAGAAGATATTTGTATTTAAAAAAAAAGTAGCTTTGTCTTTCTCTGTGCAGTGTTAGTTTAAGATTATAATCTTATATGTATTGAAACTTTTGGCAAAATTTCCACAGGAGTTAAAAGTTTACTATTTAAACTGAACAAACAAATCAGTAAATGCAGAGCAGGCACTGTATGCATTTATGCAGTTTCTCCTTGCCGAAATTCCTTTGCTTTTTTTCATTCTTTAAAAATGTCTCCAGCCTCTAAGCACACTATGTCTATGAGAACATGGAACAGTTTAATCTTGTACAAGGGTAACCTAATTCAGTAACTGACCAATTAAGAAGCTTTTAGCAGTCATCCCAATACCCACCCTGTTTGGTTGGCATTAAGCAGTTGGCACCAGCAAAGCTAAATGTCAGGCTATGGTTCTGTGTGGAGTGGAACTAGTTTGATTCTTTTCAGGGCCTCAAGCAAAGCTTCCTTTAAAAGATACACTGAATTAGTATTAGCTACCTTTACATAGACAACACCACAAAAATTGCTGAAATGGGAAAGAGAGCCAGAGAGGGAGAGAACTGTTTTAATCCTATCCGTGATTCTTTTGTGAGGATTAAGAAAGATTCCATTAAAAGTCTCTGACTCACTAAAATCAGCAGGGGGTGTTTGTTCAGTATCAACAGTGTAAGTTTCTATAGATTTCTCACCATATATTGTAATCAAAAACAGACTTTTAGAAAATGTTCTAGAACAAACTAAATCAATTGGAAGTTTGCTTAAATTATTATTCCAGTTCTCATCATTAAACAATCTCTTCACATTTTTCTCATTAGCCCATACGTACCACTTAAAATGGCCATTTTTACTTGAATCAATCTCTTATTTTGGCCTGAAACTACTGAGAGGGGGCTGACTAAGCCTGCATTTACTTAGAACAAAAATGTTAACTGACCAGCTTTATTAGCTTGTGATAACAAGGAGTTTACAGTAGTGAAAAGATGGAATGTACTAATTTGAAAATGGTTTGCAGACCTCTTGGTTTTAATATAGCTACTTATGATGCTTTAAATATATTTTGAAATGAACAATTCCTTTAAACCCCATTTTTAATTGTCCTTCAAAGAGGATCTGCCTTATGTATTCTTTAAAATACTCCTTAATTTTAGTACAGCAGAATTTTTGGTAAAGAGGTACGTTTTGAAGCAGGTTGATTTAAGATATGAATGTATTTCAATTGTTTCTGTTTTGTTGAGAGGGCCTAATGCAGATATCAAGAAACCCACTGTTTGTGCAATATTCCAATAATATTTACTATATAGAGCAAATAAGATACTTGAAATAATTCCAAACAGTTGTACTTGGGGGCAGATGGCCTCTCAGGGTTTCTTCTGGCTTTATGGCTTCAAAGTCTAAATCACGTTTTTTAAAGTAGTAACTTTAGAGGCAGGTACTCCATGTTAGGGCTGTACTCTAAAAAAAAAAAAAAAAAGTCAAATTAACTGTGATCTCTTAAATACTATTTAACCCTGTGAAAGAGAATGCCAGAAGAAAGCCAAAAGACCATCATCCCAATGATGGAGAATTCAAACTGACCTGCCTATTCTTTTCAATGCCTGTACTACTAAGGTTTGGATCTTTTAAAATCACCTTATCAGTATAATTCTTTAGAGAATGTTAGGTCCTTCTCCTTTAAGGATAAAATTGCACAAGCATAGGACACCATGATTTGTTAATACATACCTTGGTGTGTTCAGCTTCAAGCCTTGCCATCCTGTAGAACATTGTGGTATGAATGTGTTTGCTAGGCCTGCATAATAATTGATCTATAGACCTGTTGAACCTTGCCATGTAGGACAGTTCACACAGGTTAATACTGAATGTAAACTAAAATTAGAATGAGAATTGTTGTATTCAATTATTTTGGCTGTAATTTATGCAATTGCTTTTTGTGATTTTTAGAAAAGGAGGTACCTGTGTTCCTTTATTACTGTAAAATTTTCTTAACCAAAATTTGGTGAATTTCACTAGTTGGTCTACCTCACATTTTGTTTATGATTCTAAATTGTCTTAAGTTGTGTCTACAGTATGTTGTCCTTTCATTTAATTTGGTGAATGTATTAAAATTCTCTCCCACCCCCTTAAAAAATTTTCCTTTACATTAATTTTCTGGTATGTTCAAAACCGGAATGAGCTCCCTACTACTGGCAATGTCCAAAAAAGACAGGAAGTCCACATATCACTGAGTCATCCAACCTAAGATTTGACAATTCTGGAGTAACAAAGAAAATGTTAAATAAATACTTGTTGAATGAAAATCTGTAGCTTTTACAAAGATATACACACATATAAAGTATCCACACCCCATGCCCTTGCAGAATTCCAAATTATGGATGACAGATCTAAAAATGATTTTAGAGGTATTAGAAATACTCCTAGTATAACCCCAATCTTTTATAGATGGCAACTATACTCATTTCAGTGTCCTCAGAAGCAGAACTCTGGGTTGCTAGAACTGTGCAGTTTGACAGAAGGTGTTCATCACCATCTTATTTCCAAACTACCTACTTTTAAGAATATGTTATTCCAGAAAAATGCCTTTCAGTTCTATTATGTGAAGAGTGTTAGCCTAGTAGATCTGGATAAAGAACCATGAAAACACTCTTCTAGGCCAAGGACCACTGGCCTTTTACCTCAGGAAGGGCGATAAACATTTGTTAAGTGTGGTGACAGATTTCAGGAGCAAGCAGAAACTGCCAACGTTCCAGTACATATTCCAAAGCAGCTACTCCACTGGAAAGACCAAAAGCTGTGAAACTTTGACTGTTCTACCTCTGTATTCAACCACCTAAAGCTGGAACAACATCCAGGCCACAAATATTCCTCAGGCCTCTCTTTAGTCATGGAGACTGACCCGTAAACTTTCTCTAGGAAAACACTGCTCCAACACTAACAGCCTGGTTTCACTGAAAGAAACCATCACAAAAGGTGATTTCAGGAAGGGCCTCTGTGGCCAAGGTTTAAAGCCATTCACACAATAAATTACTTCTGCTCTTCACTATCAAGTACTGAGCTAAGCATCCACACTTCAGTGACTATGACGACAGAGTAAGTTCTAAGAAAGAGAAGGCAACAATAAGTTGTTTTCTGACCACTTCTTTGTTCTGTAAGTAGTCCAGTGTATTTTATTTTTACAAGAATGGTGTGGTGGAAGGAGGGGTTATTGTGAGACAGTATCTTCCCTTTATGTGCCAAAAGGACCAAGAGCCATGAGAATGAGGTAGAAAACATATGTATGTCTGCAGTCACTCTCCAGAAACCAACTCAGCAATCTTAACTCCTGGTAAAATATGGTTAGGCAGGACTACAGCTGGGCAGCCATGCAAGATAAGCAAGAACAATTAAAATGTCCCTGCATGTCTACTGTACTTGTCCTTAACAACAGTCATGCTTCACTCACTGGTAAAATGATTTTTTTTAAGAATTCTTGCAATATATAAGAAAACCATTTGCATATCCATGTAGAAAAGGGCATAGCCCATAAAACCTTGTAGTTCCTGCCTATACTTGTAGTTCCTATAAGGTCTATATACTAGACATTTTTTAAAAGCTTTCTCAATGTTTGAGAGAGCATGCACCCATGCAAACATGAGTGCAAGGGGGAAGGGAACAGAGGATCTCTAGCAGAGTCCAATCGGAGCCCAATCTCACAACCCTGAGACAATGACCTGAGCCAAAATCAAGTCAGATGTTCAACCCACTGAGCCACCCAGGCACCCCAAATAACTATTTAAGGGCAGCTGACAAATTCATAGGCATATTTATAAAATCACAATTACAGAATCACTTCTTTTGAAGTCTGACTGTGGCCATTAGTGTGGACAGTGTCCATTCTCCCTCTACCACTCTGTAAAGATCACTCTTTGGTCTTCAATTATAATGTGATAGTACTGACCATTCTTGCTTTTTAAAACTCTTCCTTGGTTTCTACCACTCTCTTCTGATCTTCTTACCTCTTTCCAGATACTCTTCTTCGAGACTCTTAAGTGATGGTTTTCTTCACAACTCTCTCCTACCCTCTCATTTTACAAACGCCAGGGTGAGGACATCTCTTCTAAACCTTTGGATAACTAGGTTAATAAATCTCCTTAGTTCAAACTTCTCTGTAACTCTAGACCAATATATAGAATTATATACCAAACAAGTATCTCCACTTGGAGATTCTGCAACCATCTCAAAATCTTTCCCAAAATTGAGCTCATCCTTTCTGGTCCAATCCTCCCAACATAATTCTCCAGTATTCCCTTCTCAGTCAATCCACTATCCAGTTACCCAAATTACCCATGATCCTTCTCCAGTCAGTTATCAACTCTTACAGTTCTTCAATTGTATCTTCTCCAAGTTTATCTGTCTCTTCATCAACAAATCACAGCTTTAGTTCTGTGTTTCAACATTTTTCACACAAACCGCTACAGCAGTCTCCAAATCCCTCACTTGAGTTGTCATAATAAAATAATGCAGCACTATACAGAAGGTCTGACACATAGCAATCACTCAAAAGTTAGATGTTATTAATACTATTCTTAGAGAAAGCCTAGACTGCAAAGTTATTTGAGGGACTAGGTCTTCAATATAAACATGAAAATAATGATTTTCTTATAACTGTAACATTTAAATCAACCAATGTATATTCTCTATTCCCAGGTACCCCCAAAACCACCAAGTTTGGCTCCCCAAAGAAGCATACTATGGCTTCTACTGAAATTGGATCTGTATTATGAGATTAAATTATTAGAGCATCAATACTATACCTGAAAATTTCATCCTCTTTTTTAAAAAGTTACACACTCTGTTAGGCAAATGACGACATCAGGAATGACTGGAATAGTTTCAAGTCCAAAGAGAAAGAGAGTGTCAAAAGTCAGACTATCATGATGAGTAAGACGGAAATATTTATACCTCTACAGAGTACAGAGTTTTATACCACTTTATGAATTTAAAAAGCATACACCTATAGAGAGATAAAGTATACGCCCACTAATTTAAAGCCCTAAAATTTAGCTGGTTTTTAATGATTATTTCAGTTCATAAAAATAATCTATGTTAAACCATAGTAGTGCTTCATTCTTGGGCTATGGCTTGTTCTTCCTCTGAAAGACCAGAAAAATTCTCATGTTAGAATTTTGCCTTTTAAAGACCAAGTTCACAGTTATGGACATACTGATCCTTTGGCAAATGTGAAACTTGTAAGAAGCCAGTGTTTTAATTCTATTTTAAGGTATCAAACTTAACTCCCTGAAAAAGCACAAATGACAACACACTATCATCACATTTATCACTTAGAAAAAGCTATCAAGTATTTTATTTTACTCTACATTATATACAGGTCATAAAAGGCCACAGCAGTTTTTCAACATATAAACCCTTTAAAAGTAGAGGGCACTATGAAGGATAGACAAGTATCAAAATGAAGTCCAGTAATGTGGGCATATACTCAGTGTAGTATTTCTGAGGAATAACAAAGCAGATACCGAGTCATCCATAGTTAGTTTACAACTATTCCACAGGTTTTTATAAACCTCTTTGGGATTTGTTAATAGCCTTAAGTGAGCCCAGGTGCCATTTATTTTAAGAAATAAAATCAGAATGAAAGAATAACAAACTTTAGAGGGCACTTACTAATTCTAGTCACTTCATAGCTCTCCCAGAAGGAAAGCCTCAATTCTTTAACCACCTTCCATTTCTTCATGCCTCAAGAACAGGAAAAAAGGAAATGGAAGAAAAAGCTCAATATTCCATATTCTTCCTGCTTATTTGGAACTTTCCTTTTTTGCACGGATTCCTTCAAAACATATTTCAGGCCCTTTAAGAATTAACTTTGAATTCCTAAACATGCAATATTGCACCCCCCTTGAATAAGAACTCAAAAACATTGGTTTCCGCTCTGTAAAAATACAATCTTTAAAACTATAACTGGTATCAGCAGATCAATATAAAAAAATACAGTACACCAAGCTACACTGGTATATTTCCATATTAAGAACTTCAAAATATACTTATCACTGAGACCATAGTCCTTGCATTAGTTTTCAGTCCACTATGAACAATTATCTGCTGCATGTAAACATGTCTAAATAACTATAGATAAAATACATCAATCATAAATTTCTGTAAAAGATAATAAAATATCTTCTTTAAAAAACAAAACAATAATAAGCTATTACTGCATTGTTTCCAATTTTATGAAAATGGAACAACCTTATGGTTGTTACCAGTCCTGAGTTCATTGTAATAAAAATGGCCCTAGTTCCTGGTTAAAGTCAGCAACCAATCCATTCTCTTCAGTAGATGTCTTCTAGTACTGTGGCAAGAATTTGTTTTAGGTGCTATTTTGTCCATTAATAAAATTATATACCAGAAACTGACCAGTGCCACAGTACTGTGTTGCAAATAGTTTTCCATCAGGAGTGGGATCTGAGAAAGCAATTTCTTCTTTACTCAAATATGAGCCATATATAAAGTTACTCCTATTAAAAAAAAAAAGGAGGGGTGTGGAAGGGTAAAAAGAAAAAAAATTAATATTTTTATCATTAAAGTTGAAAAAAAACCCATCAAATAAAATTTGACCAGTAAGACTTTCTAGGTAATGTTGTAATGTTCTAAAAATTGTTTAAAATAGTTGTTCATCGAGATTATTAATAATTTGAGGTAAAAAATTTTTTATGAAAACAACAATGGTTTTAAAAACATTTACCCAACATCTTTTCATGATAAAAATACTCAACAATTCTGAGAAGAAGGAACTTCCTCAACCTACTAAAGAGCATCAGGGAATATCAAATTTAATTATGAAAGACTGAAAACTGTTTCCCAAAGATCAGGAACAAGGTAAGGCTATCTGCTTGTACTTCTTCTATTCAACAGTGTATTTACTGCAGGCACTAGCCAGGGCACTTAGACAAAGAAAAGAAATTAATAGGTAGGCTGGGAAGAAAGAAGTAAAACTACCTCTTTTTGGAGACCTTTTTGATGAGCTTATATGTACAAAAATCCTGAGGAATGCACAAAAAAACTATTGGATCTAATTAAAAATGAGTTCAGCAAGGTTGCATGATACAAAAGAGCAATATTTAAAAAATTAACTGAATTTCTATATACTTGAACTTAACTCAAAAATTTAAAAACAATTCCATTTACAATAACATTAGAAGAATAACACTCAGGATTAAGTTTAACAAAAGAAGTGCAAGACCTGGAAACTTAAATAAATTTAGAAAGACAAACCCAAGTTTATGAATCAGAAGATCTAAAGCTGGCTTTGTAGAAATTAACTCATATGAAAGTGGAAGGGTCACTAAACAGTCAAAAGAATCTTGAAAAAGAACAAAACTGAAGAACTCACACTTCCTTATTTTGCAACATACTACAAAGCTACAGAACTGAAAACAGTGTGCTATGGCATTAGAATAGACTGATGGAACAGAACTGAAGAGTCCAGGTACAAACCCTCACAATCAAAGATTTTTCACATGGGTGCTGAGACCATTCACTGGAAAAGAACAGTCTCTTTAATAAATGGCACTGGGACGACTGGATAGCCACATGAAAAAAAGAATGTTGTTGGAATCCTTATCTCACATCATACACAAAAATTAATTTAAAATAGATCAAAGACCTAAATGTAAGAATTAAAATTATGAACTCCTGGAATAAAATACAAGTATAAATCTCTGTAGCCTTACATTAGGAAATGGCTTCTTAGATAGGACACCAAAAACACAAGTGACAAAAGAATAAGATATGTAATTTGGAGTTCAAAATCAAAGACCTTTCTGCTTCAAAGGACACCAAGAAGATGAAAAGACAGCTATGAAAAGGTAGAAAATATCTGTGGATCATATATTTGATAAGGAACTTGTCTCCAGAATATATAAAGAATTATTACAATTCAGTAAGAAAAAGATAAACTAATTTAGCAATGGACACAGGATTTGAATAGGCATTTCTCTAAAGAACATTTAATTTTTTTTAATTTTTTTTTTATGATAGTCACAGAGAGAGAGAGAGAGAGAGAGAGAGAGAGAGAGAGAGAGAGAGGCAGAGACACAGGCAGAGGGAGAAGCAGGCTCCATGCACCGGGAGCCCGATATGGGATTCGACCCCGGGTCTCCAGGATCGCGCCCTGGGCCAAAGGCAGGCGCCAAACCGCTGCGCCACCCAGGGATCCCTCTAAAGAACATTTATAAATGGCCAATAAGCATATGAAAAAATGCCCAACATCATTAGCCATTTGGAAATTATAAATCAAAACCAAAATGAAATAATTCATACTAAGATGGCTAAAATTAAGAAGATGGACAATAACAAGTGTTGGTAGAGAAATTAGAACTCTCACACATTGCTGGTAGGATTGTAAAATAGTATAGCTGCTTTAATAAGCAGTTTGGCAGCTCCTCAAAATAACCATAGTAACATACAATTACTACATGGCCCAACAATTCTATTTCTAGTATATACCAAAAGAAATAAAAACATGCAAATATTTCTCTACTTACCAAGAGAAATAAAAAATACACAAAAATTTGTACATGAATGTTTACAGATTATTTATAATAGCCAAAAAGTGTAACCAACCCACCATCCAATGTTCATCAACTGATGAATGAATAAATGAAATGTGGTACAACCACATGGTGGGATTTTATCTGAAGTATACAAATACATGCTACAATATGGATGATCCCTGAAAGTGTGCTAAGTAAAAGAAACCAGTTACAAAAGATCATTTATTATAGGAATCCATTTATATGAAATGTTCAGCATAGGAAAATCCATTCAGACAGAAAGTAGATTAGTGATTGCCAGAAGGTGGGGGAGAGGGAAATGGGGAGTGACTGCTAATGGGTATGGATTTTGGGGACACAATGATGGAAATGTTCTGGAATTAGATAGTGGTGATGATTGCACAGCCTTCTGAATATACTAAAACCCAATGAACTGTATAATTTAAAAAGATGAATTTTATGCTATATAATTACATCTCTTAATAAAGCTGCTATTTAAAAAATAATTTTTTAATTTAGCCAGTACAGACTATTAGAATTTTCACGCTGCAATCTTAACAAGGTGAGTTGGGTACATAGAACAACAATAAGTGAAAAAAGTAGAAATTCTATATAGAGAGTTTTAACAGGAAGCTTATGGGGACATCTCTATCATATGAAACAAATACAATGACTATACTGTTTAATGTTTTTATAAACTAGAACCATCTTACAGTTGTTGTAGGACCTAAATTTACAAGATTTTAAGGAGGAGCAATACTGTCATATTTAGCACTATTATTTAAACAGCTGCATTTTCCAGGTTTAGTTTAGAAAGCGCTAAAACAGATCTGCCTTTTGTCATGAAAAGGGCAGGTAGATCTAAGCCCTCCTGGATCACTACTCACAAAAGAGGGAGAGACCAGAAACACATTAATGTTCTAAAATTCCTAGACCCTTAGAATCTCACTTACAATGACGGATTACTCTGAAAGCTAAGATCTACAGATAATAGCAGACAGGGATTCTAGAATAAACAAAAACAAGAGACTGACATAAAAACCTCATCTGCGGGCACCTGCGTGGCTCAGTGGTTGAGCATCTGCCTTTGGCTCGGGTGGACATCCCAGGGTCCTGGGATTGAGTCCCGTATCAGGCTCCCTACAGGGAGCCTGCTTCTCTCTCAGCCTATGTCTCTGCCTCTCTCTGTGTGTCTCTCATGAATAAACAAATAAAATCTTAAAAAAAAAAAACCTTCATCTGCATGATTAATTTGAACTGCCATTAATCATTTAGAAAGGTGCTTTAAAGAACAAAAACCATGCAATTTGAGTCTTTTCCTCTATACCTTTAATTTAAAATCAGGCAATAAAAGCAAAAAGAAAAACTAGTAGGAGACTTAGATAATTTATAAATAATATTCTTAATTTAAAACAAGTTTTCCTAAAAGCAACTTTAAATTCCAAAAAAACTTCTCATATTTATTTGGTTATCTTTAAAATTCTCCACTATTGAACAGTTCAAAATAAGTGGGTTATTTTGGTCTAATAGCATAGTTACAAGTAAGTAAAAATGCTTTAATAGTATTTAACTAGTAGTGCTTTCTCACCCTTCAGATTAACTTCACATAAAAAAAACAGACCCAATACACTGACAATACAATCCTATGCAAATTTTAAATTAAGATAAAGGTTATATATTTAAGATTAAAGGCCAATCTTTATACTAAAAATCTGCTTAAATCTAAAACTAGAGAAAACAACTTGAGGAATTACTTTCAAGTTACCTTAGGCATTCAATCATGCGAGAAGCAATTTTCTTCCGACGCATCATGCTGAATACCCATATCCGACTGATCCCACAGATTGCAGGCTCTGGCAATGTTGAGCAGCACCAGGCTTTTTGCCTTTCAAATCTGACTTTTTCTTCTTCCGACCTGATAACTGGAAGTTTCTCTTCTATAACTCTGTAGCCCTAAGGTATCAAGATTAGAGGGAAAAATTAATTTAAAGTGAAAATATTAATTAGCAATTGTCTAATACTGACCTTAGTGAGTTGGTTGCTACATTTGTCTGGCTTCAGAAACTATGAGGGCCACTTACGCTTTCAGTCTTCAGAAAGGAGACCTGAATCTACATTCTGTTTTTTGTTTTAAAGATTTTATTTATTCACCAGAGACACAGAGAGAGAAAGAGGCAGAGACACAGGCAGAGGGAGAAGCAGGCCCCATGCAGGGAGCCCGATGTGGGACTCAATCCCAGGACTCCAGGATCAAGCCCTGGGCTGAAGGCAGCGCTAAACCGCTGAGCCACCTGGGCTGCCCTGAATCTATATTCTGTTTTGATTCATTTATTAGTTATGTGACCAGGAAAGCAGTTAACAAATTAAGCTTTGGGTTCCTTATCTATAAACGAGAGGTATCTACCACCTGTTTCAGAAAACTGTAGAAAAATTAAATAAGGTAATACATATAAAATACCTTGCCCATCATGGCTGGCCCATAATGGCAACTGAAGGTTATTTTTTCTCTACCTCCCACATTCTAAGGACCAGCAAAAGTACACATCAAGAATGCAGCAGCGTTCATAACTCAACTCAGCAGCGGTCATAACAACTGTTTCTGTGATTGCTGCCATAGTTCTACGGTTCACAGCTGTGCGGGAATTAGGACTAGAGATGGCAGGAGAATCAAGAATTTAAAAAGTTTTCCCCCACTCCCATCTCTTTAAAAAAACTAAAGTACTTTAAAAAAACATAGTATCTCCTCTATCAGTCTAGCTGAACAACGGCCAGCCTTCTGATGGGATATGGTACAAATCTTAAAGCATTTAGAAAATACAGTGAAGAATTAACAAACAAACACTGCATAGCTATCTTCTGAACACTACAAAAAACTTGGTAGAATAGAAAGTTTAAAAAACACAAGGGAGGGATCCCTGGGTGGCGCAGTGGTTTGGCGCCTGCCTTTGGCCCAGGGCGTGATCCTGGAGACCCATGCATGGCTCCCGGTGCATGGAGCCTGCTTCTCCCTCTGCCTATGTCTCTGCCTCTCTCTCTCTCTCTCTCTCTCTGTGTGACTATCATAAAAAAAAAAAAAAAAAAAAAAAAAAAAAAAACCACACACACAATGGAATATACACTATGTAAAATTAATTTCAATATGGCAAAAGCTATACAATTTCACACTGGGTTTTTAAAAATTAATATAGAAATTAACTCCTAAAGCCCTGTTTTGACTTTATTTTATAAGAAAATTCTATGATAAAACACGTTTCCAGGCAACTATTAATATACAAAAAGATACCAACTAAACAAAAGTCAAATCCAATGTGCATTGAATTCATGAATAAGAACTCCGCTGAAAAGACAAAATTCAAATGAGGTATGCCTCAAATAGCATGATTAGAGAGTCCAGAATCTTCTGTTCTTATAAGTTGGTCTGTTACTACATAACCTACCCAATGTGAATATACCCCGCTTATTGTGATTTTTTTTTTTTTTTTTTTTTGGTACAATTTGTCTCCTAAATACAAGTCAACTTCTCACAGCTCAAGTAAAGAAGTGGTGATCTATTCTGGGGGTGGGCAACTTTTGATAAAGAACCAGATAATATTTTAGGCTTTGCAGCCCACTTGGTTTCTGCTGCAACTACTCAACTCAGTCTTTCTGGTGTGTATCAGTCATAGACAATATGTAAGCAAATGGGCACTGCTATATTACAATAAAATTTTATTTATGAAAACAGGTTGGAGTTTGCTCTCAGGCAATAGTTTGCCAACCTTTGCTTTATTCCAGTGCTGAAGGAATGGAAACAAACTTTACATTAGTATCCAAAATGGAAACTTCCTAAACAAAATTTAACAGTACTTTTGATTTATAGAATTTTTATTTTATATACTGACTTGAGAAACTAATTCCCATGCAAGATACAACTCTGCTTAGTAAAAATTTACACATGGCAATTCTAACATTCACATGCTTCCTTACATAAAACGCTTTCCTTTACATAAAATTAACCAGGACTGTGTTACTCAAGATTATACAGTAAACTCTTTAGATACCAAAGTACACATGAACACTCTTTAAAAGTCACTTACCCACTGGATATGTTCCGCAATTAAGCAGCCAACTACTTTTTTGTCATTAGAAATAAAGAGAAGTGTTTTAGTTCTGGAATAGCACATTAGTGGGGCTTGTTGGAAACCTAAATCATTATCAACCATCTCTCTAATTTCGTCAACCTGCCAAATAAAGAACAGTATTTTTTGTAACAACGAAAGCACTGTATACATGTTAAAATATTACTATTGCAGTTCAGTAAATTGAGTATATTATTCCAAGCAGGATATCACCTAAAAAGTTCTTTGGAATGATTATTCTGACCTATAACTGTTTTTCAAGGCCTGTGGAACAATGTGCAAAATGGAAAAGGAATTGGACAGTAATGCCAAGCCCAGCAGTCTAAATAACAAGAACAGTGAGAGCTCCTACAATAAACAATAAGAACATTACGGGATTAGGAGAATCATGGGTTTGAGAATTAGGGAGAACTTCACTGAAATCTTAGCCAGGCAAGCCATTTTCTTTCCAAGTCTTAATTAGTACTCCCATCAGTAAAATGGAAGTGGACACAGAAGAAAGAAACACATGTTTATTCCTTATTAACCACTGGCAAGATAGTATCAAAGAACTTCATTATCTTACTTAAATCCAACATCTCTTGGGTCTATGGCCCCTCACTTTACATATTCAAGAAAGAAAATTCAAAGGTAACTTTCCCATGTTAGGTATTAGACATCTAGAAAACCAAGGAGCAGAGATTTGAATGATGCTAATATGGCATCAAACTGTGCTTCTTCTAGTTTACCTCCTAGAACTGTGGTCAAGGTCAAATATGGTAAACTCAAGCTTCTGGGGGCACAAAGTCAAATGTTTTCTAGGTACTCAAACATTAGTTCCTTCCCCAGTTAAAAAATAAAAAGCAAAGATTCAGTCCAACAAACATTCATTCATGTTACTAAAATGAAAATAACCCTTTGGAGGGTTAATAAGCATTCATACCTCTGACCTGCAGAATACCATATAATACATCCCCTACTCAGGGATGAAAACTCAAGCCCTCCTAATCCTAGAACCGTATCTTATAACAGAACTCATGATTCAGTTCCTATAGGCAAATGACTCACAATTCCTTACATTTCAATTTTTAACCTACTATTATGGATTCCTAACTAGTAACGTACTACACTAAGATTTTGCCCTGAGAAACTAAAATGAGGAAGTTAGCATTTACTGAAGATTCTTAGTAAAGAAGAGTCTGAATGCCACATATGGTGGTATAGCAAAGTTCCCACTGTTCATTTCCAATAGTAATAGTTGGAATTCAAAAATTACGTAATTTAATTTTCATTTATTCAATCAGTAATCCAATATTAATTAACAAATATTTATTTCTGTGACAAGGATCAATGTTTCAAATACAAGGCAGGTGGCATGGTTACATGTCATTCTAAATGTTATTGTCTATATTATTAGGGAGTGGTAGTATGGGGGGCTTATTTGGTTATCTGGAATTGTCCAGCATACATAATACAGAGTATGTGAATTCAAAAACAAGATAAAGTAGAATGTTAGTCGTATTTTCAAATAATAGGGTCACCCTTTCAAGTGAAGTTTTCCTAAATTTAAAGAGGTCCAATTGTTAACCTAAAAAAAAGAACAATACATAAATCATTTTCCTTGTGTTTTCTAGACATTTTGGACATTTTAGAGTTTCTCAAAAGAAAACTGGACCCACCGCTTTATAAGATATTTCTGAAAAAGCACAAGAAGGTTGAAAAAAACACTTTGAGTAGATTATTTGAAAATATAATTAATATTAAATCATTTCAAAATAAGTTTATCCTATGGTTTCCTGCCTTTTAAGACACTCAATATAATACAATGATTCCAGACTTCATTGTCTTTCTGGTTTATTTCTCTGAACTTTCAAAGTATGGAACTCTAAGTTGGACTTTTATAAAACCTGGCTCACACTAGATAAGAGGACTTCTTTAAATTTCCTACCTTATAATTATAAATCAGAATGTATCTTTTTTCACTTAACATTTTATGATTACCTCATGTTTAATTTCAGAACTTCACAACTTTTTTTGTTTTAAAGACTGATTTATTTATGAGAGACAGAGGAAAAGCAGAGCACCAGGGGAAAGGGCAGAGGGAGAGAGTCTTATGCAGACTCCGAGCAGAGCCCAACATGGGGCTGATCTCACAATCTGAGCCAAAACCAAGACTATATCACCAAAGTGACCTCTGATGACCTATTATTATATCTTCTTTTGCTATAAGATTTATTTAAAATTTTTCTCTTGAAATGAAACTTCACAATTGTTAATTTTAATTTTCTAGGTTATCAAACTTTAATTGTAATTGATTCCTTTTTAATGAAAGTAATACTTTTTTTTCAAAGTTTTAACTGATTAATCTTAAAGATTTATTTATTTTAGAGGAAGAGAGCACCAGTGGAAGAGGGGCACAAGGAGGAGAGAGAAAGAGAATCCCAAGCTGACTCCACACTGAGCAAGGAGCCCAAAGTGGGGCTCAACACAGGGCTTGATCTCATTCCTTGAGATATGACCTGAGCCAAAATCAAGAGTCGGACGTTCAACCAACTGAGTCACCCAGACATCCCCAAGTTTTTAATTTATTTTAGTTATCTCTACACCCCACGTGGGACTCAATCTCACTACCTGCAATCAAGAGTCACACACTCTTTCAACTGAGCCAGCCAAGCACTCCTGGAATTTTGATTAAGTCACTAATGTGGCATTATAAACTAGCAAGCCTTTTATATCATCCCTCAAGTTTCTGATAATATAGGACAGTAATCAATTCACTAAAACTTTATTTCACATATCTTAGATACAAAGGTTTAAGCATAATTTTAAGCATGTTCTTTAAATGCTTATTTCTTGTTTTCAGAACTGGTGCTTAAACATGCTATGTCAGTAATGGATTATTCTGTTAAAATTTACTACAAAATTACATTACCCATTTTAAATGAAACTGCACTGGACATTTACCTTTTTCAGAGCATACTTTGGGTCTTCAGGAAGAACCATTATTATCCTGCCATCAGGATATTCAGCCAGAATTCTTTCTTTTTTCCAACCCTAGATATAAAAAATATGAATGAATTCTGTTATCATATTTCATTGATCAGATTCACATATAAGAAGAAAAATATATCGATGTGTCTAAAAAATTCCAAGTACAGAAAAATATTCTCATTAATGTTTAACTAACAAGACATGATGACTCAGCTATTTTGTTAAGCATACAGTAGGTACAATGCAAGCTAATTTCTCTAAAATAATCATTCAGAAATCTAATACCACAAGAATATTAATTTATCACTTCCCATTTTAAATTAATTTTGAAAATCACACACCAAAAGCAAGCCCCTTAAAGTCAGTGATTCCCAGAGCCTAAAAGATAATTTTCTCAGCTTCTTCATAAAAGAATTTAACTCTTAAATTTCTTTAGAACATGGTTACCTCCACAAACAAACACTCATGGTTTTATGTCTGGCATGCCAAAGACCTCCAGGAGGTTTTAAATGAACTGATTTGCATGCAGTAGCCCAATATGTAGTAAGGAATAGACTTTAATTCTTATTGATCATATTGATCACAACTATCAAAGTCACAAGAAGGAGACTATAAAAATATAACTACCTTCTAAGAATCTAATAGGGAAGGAGAAGCTACGTTGTGTGTATCTGAAGTTAAACATACTCAAAAAAAGAGGTAATAAACTCTTCTTCAGATCCACACTCGTGGTGATTAATGAGCAGAACCTGCATGAAAAAAAAAACAAAACAAAAGCCACTTAAATCTAGTAAGATGGGACTGAACCAGAGGTTAAAACTAGGAGCTTTGAAGTTAATAACTACAGAAGGAATGAGCTTAACTGGTTGTTTCATTTGTCTTACCCAACCAATTTTACATTAAAAAAAAAAAAAAAGCCTTTCAAGAAGCAATGTATTTCTATTAGAGAAAACCATGATCTTCTGAAATCTTGTAAGACTATGAAAGCTCAATAAAACCAAGAAAAAGGTAACTACATTTTTTTCTTAATATTATGACAAGTCAGAGAACAGGCTGATTTTCTTATAACAATTTAGATGATTTTTTGAGGGCAGGGGCAGGACCTTGGGGACAAAGAGTCTAGTATAAGCTTAGTAAACAACTTAGGGTATTCACATAAGAATGTGTTTTAAAAATAGAGCACTCAAAGGTAAGTGAACTTTGGGTGATTATAATTATGATTGGTTAAAAGTTCTCAAGATCTGAAAAGAAGGAGCAGAAACAACAGCCACAGAAGTCATTTTTTTCAAATTAGAAATTAAATCTGAATTTAGGTAAACAATTTTTAAAACGTACAAAAGACATCACCTCTTAAAAGCAAATTAATATTACTACATTAACTTGGGAAACACTTTTAAAATAAACCCATTTTTGAGGGCTGGATGGCTCAGTGGTTCAGCATCCGCCTTTAGCTCAAGTGGTGATCCTAGGGTTCTGGGATTAAGTACTGCATCAGGTTCTCCGCAGGGAGCCTGCTTCTCCCTCTGCCTATGTCCCTGCCTCTTTGTGTGTATGTCTCACGAATAAATAAATAAACTCTTTAAAAAAAAAAAGTAAAAATAAAATAAACCCATTTTCCATAAAATGAAAATGGAGACTTTTCATTTTAAAAGTTGAACTACAAATTCAGTGAAGAGCTACAAAATTTAAGTAACTCCCACTTATAAGAAAGTCATAGCTCCTGATCTGAATTATCTAACAAAAATCTGAGGGCATCAAAAAAAAAGAAAGAAAAGAAAAGAAAAGAAAAGAAAAGAAAAGAAAAGAAAAGAAAAGAAAAGAAAAGAAAAGAAAAGAAAAGAAAAGAAAAGAAAATCTGAGGGCAGCCCTGGTGGCCCAGTGGTTTGGCGCCACTATCAGCCCAGGGCCTGACCCTGGAGACCCGAGGTCAAGTCCCATGTCAGGCTCCCTGCATGGAGCCTGCTTCTCCCTCTGCCTGTGTCTCTGCCTCTCTCTCTCTCTCTCTGTCCCTCTCATGAATAAATAGATAAAAATCTTTAAAATGAATAGATAAATAAAAATAAAGAAAATCTGATTAAGTTATTTTCCTATTATCTTTAAAGACAAAAATGCTGGTCTAATGTCATTATATTGCACTACAGGCCCTAGAACAGATTATTTTGTTTTACTGACTTTTTAGTATTAAACTTTCTCAAACAACTTGACACCTGCACATTCTTGCCAAAAATTGCATCACAATTGGATTTCACATAATTTTATGTTTTAAATGTGACTCAGTTTTTTTTTCACGTACATACAAGCAGCAAGAATTTATAAGGGGCAGATTACTATTTTTTTAAGTTTCATGAAGACAGCATATTTCAGTGAAAACTAGTTAAGAGTTCTGGAGTAAAAGTTCAGGGTGTAAAGCCTTGTTCTTGGTAGTTACCAGCTACATGACCTCACACAAATCACAAACTCTGTTTCCTGATGTAGGCTATGTACAAAAATGGCTGCCATCACCTCCACACTTAGTTGTTAAGATTATATTTAAGATAATTCCTCACACAAAGTAGCCACTCAGTAATCTCCATTCTACTTTCCTAATGATATCAAACTAAGATCAGTGTACTACTCTAAGAAAACACAAGTTAATTAATAAAGCCGCCAAAGTTAAATACAACATAATGGACAAATGCAAAAAACCACATTGGCTCATGTCTGTCAAAAAAACATACTCAGGACATTTATATGCCTCAACTGCAGTTATCTCTTTCTTGGAGTTAATAATCACATGATCCTCTTGACTTTAAAAAGTTTAGAGGGGATCCCTGGGTGGCTCAGAGGTTTGGCGCCTGCCTTTGGCCCAGGGCGCGATCCTGGAGTCCCGGGATCGAGTCCCACGTCAGGCTCCTGGCATGGAGCCTGCTTCTCCCTCCTCCTGTGTCTCTCTGCCTGCCTCTCTCTCTCTCTCTCTCTCTCTCTCTCTCTCTCTCATAAATAAATAAATAAATAAATCTTAAAAAAAATAAAAATAAAAATAAAAAGTTTAGAGGAGATTGTCAGCTGCTTGAAACCCAGGCAGAGGTGGGGGAAGGGTACATATGATTTAGAGGAATAATCAAACAGCCACAGCCTTCTGTAAAGATATAAATTCCAATGCAGTTCATTTACATTTATCACCTTTACCTCTAACATCCCTCTGCTAGTGAGTAGTATTTTTCCAAACCCCAAATTTTCTTAAATGACCCATCTGGCTGTGAAAGTTTTACATTCCTAATAGCAATGAATGATTATTTTTTTGTTCCTTGCTACTGTACTCACTTTAAACTTTAGAATCTAAAGAATGGAAAGGATTTCTCCTCTTTTTCCATTAAAAAAAAATATTAACTGAAAACAAAATACATTAAGTAGTGAATACACTAATGTATATAATTGTCAAAATTCACTGACCAAACATGTAATTGTATGTAAATTATATTCCAATTTTTAAAGTTCATATACTAATCACTTTCATAAAAGGCTGAATAAGAATACTCATGAAGGAATATCCTGAGAACTAAAATCAACAATAAGCTTTTTTAAAAGCTGTCAATATTGCAAGAAAAAAAGACATAGAGGGAGACTCTTTAGATTAAAAGGGACTGTAAGGGATATACCAATGAATGCAATATATGGATCTTAATTCAAACAAATAAACAGTATAGAGAATTATATTTGGAGAGCTTCGAACCCTAAGGGAATATATGATTTTAAGGAATTAAATGATTTTTTTAAGATGTGGTTATATTCTTTAACTTTTATGTAAAAAACAGTAATCTTTTCATCTTTTAAATCTAAGTGATTTAGTTTTTTCCTTTTTAGCATATCTGTATTTTCTACTTATTCTACTTTAATAGTTTATAAAATTATTAATATACTTAACTATCCCAAGCAGCTGGTTTCAAGTGCATGTTTGGACACTATTTGTAAAAATTATCATATATTATCAGCAATGCTAATAAAGATGTGTTTCTACTCAGTGTGACTGTCACTGAACTTTAAAAGTATGAAAAGTCAAATAATTAGATGGAAATTAGATGGAAAAATTCAGTCAATTCAAGAAGTAGGTACTGACCACCTACCGTGTGTGCATACCACTAATTTAGGCAGCATAGCAAAGTGATAAAGACTTTAAAAATCAGACAGAACAGATTCAAATCCAGATTCTGCTTACTAGCTGTGTTGCCTTGCAACAGTTACTTTACCTCTCTAAACTCTGGTTTCCTCACAAAAAAAAAAAAAAAAAATTGATGTAAAAACTACAATATAAAATTACTGAGTTGAGAAAACATGATAAACAGCGCCTAACAGCCTAATACAATACTATATACCCAATAAATAACAGTTCTTATTACTATCATTATGGTAACAGCATTTTCTTGTAGGTTTTTTTCATCTGTGATACCTTCACAAGGCCATTTGCAATCTGGTTCCTCACCTACGTCTTCAAGCTTCCTCTCTTGAAGGTTTCCTAACACATGTCCCAGTCAGAAGTCATAATGAAATACTTTAAATATCCCAACTTTTACACACACTATCCCTCTGATCCAATAGGTCTCTATTCTATACTCTCCTGGGGACAAAGGACTCCTAACTTGTCCTTTCTGACTCTACTCCAGTGTTAACTTCCCTTTCCAATCTTTGTTAGGTATCCTTATGCTTTATATTCAGACAGTATCCTGTATGTATTACTACTCTAGTATTTTCCGTATGATTTAGATATGTTTACTTATCTATCTGTCCTTTGCACTACCTGTGATCTTACATGATGGAAAAAACAATCTTTTTGATAGTAATTTTTAAAATCTAATAATAATTTTAATAATAGCTTTGGTATTTCAAACTCTGGAGGGCGCCCGGGTGGCTCAGTGGTTTAGCGCCACCTTTGGTCCAGGGTGTGATCCTGGAGTCCCGGGATCGTGTCCCACGTCGGGCTCCCTGCATGGAGCCTGCTTCTCCCTCTGCCTGTGTCTCTGCCTCTCTCTCTCTCTCTCTCTCTCTCTCTCTCTCTCCTGGAGTCCCGGGATCGTGTCCCACGTCGG